TACTTCAAACTGATATACAGAAATTACGAATACATTTCCACTGTTATGAGAAATTTTAGACTATACGGCTTTTATAATTTTGACAGTCTGATATGAATGTGGATTCATAAACTTCTAGGTGTTACTAAAATCGGGACAGTGGCACGATACAGCTCTTCCCTGGACAGTGAAAGGTTTTATTACTTCACTAGTTACTAGCGGGTTTAAAGCCCGAGTACACCGAGAAGGTTGGGCGTAGGGCTAGAAACCCTAACCAGTAAAACAAATCCAACAGCTAAGGAAACTTCAAAGCACAAACAAAATATAAAACATAAAAACAAAATTATTCCCCTCAGGAATCGGGAGGCGAAATGACGCCGATTGCTGAAAGCGTCAGAGAAACTAAAAGGCCGATGTGCTCATTCGAAGAAAGCGAAAGTGAACGCGGAAACATGGAATGTCCGCAGCATGTTTAGGCAGTGTGCAACACCTCAGTTAGCGATATCAAAATTCTAATGGGCGACATGAATGACAAACTAAGAACGGAAAACACAGGAAAAGAACCAACCATGGACCAAGAAGCACTAGGTGAGGAGATGAACGAGAATGGAAAACTGTTTGCACAATTCTATGCATTCAACGATTCGGTGATTGGAGGCGATTCAGTGTGTTCAAGCACAAAGACATCCACAAGTCAGCAACATGGATTTCACCAGACACCAGGACACACTAAAAATCAAATCGACCTCATCTCAATGTAAAGAAAATGGAGACGCAGTCTACTTGACACAAGATCAGATAAAGAAGGGGAGCAGATGTAGGTTCACACCACTCACTATCTAGTGCAAGGAACCTACCTGCCAAATCAAGTTAAAAGCCATCACAGAAGTTGGTGATAGACCACAGTTCAAGTACAACAGTCGGAAACTGAGGGACGAAACTACAAAGCACATATTCACATCAGCCATCAAGACAAGATGGGAGATATCAAGGAACATCCATGAAGAAACCTGCGTGGAAGAACACTGGAACTCCTTGAAAGAGATGTGGAAATCAATCTGCATAACCATATTAGGAAGGAAGTAGAAAGGCTAAGACAAGGAATGGATCTCGATGGAAACATGGAAGCTGATAGGGGCTGAAGAGGAGGATGGTGAAGCAGAAGATAAACCAGTGCAGTGCTAGGATGCACAACGACAAGAGGAACTGACTACAATGTATAAAACACTACACTGGACAAGGAAGTGAAGAAGGGTGGATGGAAAGACAAAAGACACTTCCAAGACATACTGGCAAACGAAGCAGAACAGGCTGCAGGCTGGTGGTGGGAGAGACAGAGACCTGACAACATTGTGCCAAATAACCAGGTTAATATCTGGTTGTGCAGAGATCTACACAGATGAAACCAATAAAAGATGATGGAGGAAATTTAATTACGAAGGAAGACAAATGAAGGAAACGATGGGCCGACCACTTCGAAAAGCTCTTGAATCGACCACCACCACCACAACCTGCACTTCGTCCAGAAATACTGGCAGCAGCCCAGCCACAGAACTACAAGTGAACATAAATCCTCCAACAAATGTCGAAATCCTGAGCACCGTAAAGCCACTGAAATGTGGGAAAGCAGCAGGACCAGATGGAATCCCACCAGAAGCACTGAGAACAGACTCAGAGACAACAGTGGACATGCTCACACCACTGTTGCAGAAGGTCTGAAAGAAAGGGAAGGTGCCTGGTGATTGGAAGGAGGGCTACCTTGTCAAACTGTCGAAGAAAGGAGACCCAGATCTTCGCAAGGACTGTTGCGGAATCACGCTACTCTCCACCCGGAACAAGCAAAATATTAAGCCTCATCATTCTGGAGAGACTGAGGGATGCACCTAATTCGAAACCACAACCGGAACAGGCTGGTTGGCTGGATTCAGGTAGTACAAATCATGTGTAGACCGAATTGCCACGCTTCGCATTATCATAGAACAAAGTATAGAATGGCAGTCGACTCATCTCAACCTCAGCTTCATCGAATTTGAGAAGGCCTTTGACAGCGTCAACCAAGAGGCAATTTGGAAACTGCTTCAATACTACGAATTACCACAAACCTTTATCAGTCTCATTCAACAACTACACGAAGACGCCACATGCCAGCCAAGTAATTCACAATGGGAAGCTCAGTGATGCTTTCGAAGTGAAGTGAAGACAGGAGTGAAACAAGACTGCCTGCTATCACCCATGATATTCCTGACTGTGTTGTGGTGGACTGGATCATGCAACAGACAAGTGTGAGGAGCTGTGAGAAGAGGGTGATACGTTGGCTGGACCACGAAAAGTACCTGGAAGATTTGGATTTCGCCAACGATGACTTGTGTCTGATGTCGCACAAACTTGAAGACCTACAGGTGAAAACTAACAAGTTGGCAGAAGAGGCAGCGAAGACAGGACTTCAAGTGAATATAGAGAAGACAGAGGTGGAGGTGATGAAGATACCCAAGCAACCAACACCACCACCAACAACAACAACAACAAACTCCAATCACCATCAACAGGAGAAAGTTAAGGGAAGTAGCCACTTTCACCTACCTTTCGAGGCAACACTGTTTCAACTACAGGCGGCACTGACGAGGATGTCAAAGTCAGAATTGGATAAACAAGACTGGCGTTCATTTGCCGGAAACCAGTGTGGAGATCTTCTGCACTGCACTCAGCATGTGGAACAACATTCGGATTTTCAACACCAATGCCAGTCAAGTCAGTGCTTCTGTATGGCTCAGAGACTTGACGCGTTACGAAAGGCATTTCCAACAAACTACAGACATTCATCAACAACTGCCTACGCTGGCTCGTTACTGACACTGAAGCTCAGATGGATAGCCAGAAATAATAAGCAACAAAGAACTCACTCTGGCTGGCAACGAACCAACGAAGCAAGAAGCTATCGCTGAGCAAATATGCACTGGAAGGAAGTGGAGATGGATTGGACGGGTCATACACTGAGAAGGCCGACTGGGGACATCACATGTCAGGCCAGGCAGTCGAGTGGAACTGCGATGGGAAGCAACGAGTTGGGCGTCAGCTAGGCTGACATGGAGGAGATCGTGTGAGGAGGGAATGAGAGCTTGTGGGCTGTCGTGGAGCCAGGTTCGAAAGATTTCAGAGAACAGAGAGTGTAATGGAGACGTGCTAGTGAAGCCCTATGCTCTATTAGGAACCCAAGGTACAAATATTTATAATAATATCATTGCATTGATAGCTACCACGCACCTTAACGGCTTACACATAAAGTCTCTACCAATTATGGCTCCTGTAGATACATTATCCAGCTGTAATCACGACCATTTTTTCAACTGACACAACGTTTACAAACATAATGCTTGCTTTGCTTTTTTCACCAGGAAACGTCCGTTTTCAAATGTTTCAGTAAAAGGCAGCAGACGTTTAGATGAAATAATTGGATATAAGCTTAAGGAGGACAGAAGAAGGTATAAGGGTCTGCCTAATATTTACGAATTATCTGCAAAGTCAATTACTTTTGGAAGCTTTCTGAACATTATTCTTAAACAATACTATGAAGCAACATGGTAGTTGTCAGATGATAACATTAGCGGTTTCTTTCGATTATAAATTGAGAAAAGTAATTTTTATCACACCTATGAACTGATCTTAAATAAATTTCGCTGTTATAAGAGTAAAATTTGGGCACTGTGGTAGGTTGTAATTGCATTTTAGTCTCTTTATCAGAAATATCACAAAGTGAAACATTTTGGACATAATTCACTGTCCACTTCAGTCTACAATTTGGAGGTAGTTTATATAGTTCCTACCTTCTCTCCTTCTTTGAAGAAGGAAGAAGAAGAGAAGATTAGAACTATATAAACCGCCTCTGAGACACAAAGTTACATGATATGGATATGGACAATAAATTACGTCCGAAACGCTATCCAGTAAATCATACTGTTCCACTGTGTGACATTTCCAATAAACAGATTAAAACTAATTTCCGTATTTTCATGTCTGGAGTTTATACTTTTCCGTGCATTATAACACAGTATACTTAAAACGTATTCAGACTAAATTTAGAAATAGTTTCTTGTCTAATATTAGGAATAATTCCAATAAGACATCAAAGTACTCCACTTTTGAAAACTGACCACCATTGCATCAAATAGTTATCCTATAAAGGAAAATTATATGAAAATCCACACAGGGGAATAATAAAATTTAAAGTAATTTGTAGATCAATTCACAAAACTATTATTGCACTTAATGAATACGTAGCCTTAGAAGGAATTCTAATAAAACGAAGGAAAACCATGATACCCTACAAACATATATTGAGAAAACTCAATAGAACTGTCTCAGTTAGAACAATGTCAATTCAAATACATATTGAGTGAGTAACTGTTAAGGGCAGAAAAGAGTATTTAAAACCTGTAGACAACTAAAGCTGAACCATTAATTAGAAATAAGCCGTAATAATCAAAATTGAAGGTAAACAAATTTTCTTACTTAGAAGTTCATTTATTTTAACATCTCTATAACTTTCATTTTTTAAATAAAACTTGAAAATACTACCAGGACATGGTGTGTGGTTGCGAATGAAATAATATATTTGTGTGAACTGCTTACTTATAACAAGTTCCTTAGTTTTGCTTAGTTGCAAATGTGTAAACAGTTATTAACTGAAACTTAGTGAGGATTTGATGCCCTATTGAGATTAGTAAACTAATCAACTGGATAATTAGTAAACAATTCGGGGATCCAGGACCTCAATGAATTTATTTAAAAAGCTAAACAAAAACCTTTAGTCTTGTGAAGACAGCAGATTAGAATTTTAGTCGACAGTTTATGATCGCAGTAGATATATATTAAATCGGTGCCATGACTATATTTAGCCAACTTGTGGTGTCACTCTACTTATTTCTTCAGTGGTTGGCACCATGTTTTTCAAATATATATATATATATGTAAACATTCAGGAGAACTAAAAACAATTGACAATAATCTTACTACAAATATATTACCTTTTTGAGATCTGAATTCAGCACACTTCCTGACAAGTAACTTTGTGGAATAAGCCAACCTCTTTTACAAATTTTCAGATTTTTGGGCTTAGTAACTTCACCTTTCACTTTTTCGAAGTCAATCCAATCGAAATTGGTCTTTTCTTTTATATCCTCTTCAGTGTTCTGTATCCAGTGGTTCATAGGAAGTGGTGATATTTTACACTGGCTCATTAGTTTCACGTAGTTTTTTGGTGTAAGTGACGTGAAGAATGTTTTGGTTACCATTTCTTTGTAGCGGTTTGACAAGTCGATATTTGATAACTTCGAAGTATCTTTTTCACCCGACTAAAAAGTAACAAAAGTTTGAAGATTTTAACTTTTTTTAAGTATTTGATCGGCGAGAATATAAAAAATACTTTAAAATCCTAGGCCATCTTTTGCACAATAAGTTAGTATATGTTTTTAGGTTTTAGAAAATCCTTGGCAAAAGAAAGTCAGTTACATTTAGGTGAAAGTACTCAAAGTCAAACGGTCGGAACTCATTCTGAATAATTAATCTTCTTGCGTACATTAAATAAGACACAATTTTGTCAAACCAATGATTCAAGTTTATTAATAAGCCAAACCAATAAACATTTCTATAATCTAAGAAACTTTCCAAAATAAACAAGTGTATTCATTACCTGTAGAATATTAAAATGATACCATGCTGAGTATAACTGCATTTGAGAACGAATGTTCGAGTTTGTGAAGTCTAAACTCCATAGCTCTATATTCTGAATATCACGATTTGAAATTTCTGTTGTCTTCTGTTTGTTCAATCGTTCCAGTATTTGCATTTGTCCAAATATAATAAATGGTAAAATACTTGGACCCCAACGTTTTCTAAAAATAAATTCAATCACCAGGTTATTTCTAAAAAATAATTAACTTTCATGAAGATATTAATGATGGATAATAGATAGCAGTGGAATCCAGGCAGCGTGTTTCGTCCTATTTGTGACTTGTCAGTTGGATATACCTGCCTGGAAGTGGGTAATGTTGTTCCCACAGGGTGAACCATTGGAAATCTGGGAGCATGAGACCCTTCAGCGGTGAGACTATCAGGAATCAAACTCAAGACCTCCAACGTCTGCGGCAAACTTGTAACTATTAACCAACTAAATCTGAAACTAGTGGTCCACGTCTTCCTACTTCTGTCAGTTTAAGATATTTCGCGACTATCATCCGACATCATCTTTGAGCATTTGTCGTCACGCCTGAAATGGCATTCCTCACCAGTCACGACTTCTAATTACAACTACGAGAAATCTTATCCAGGCTATACCATGTCCCTAACCATCCAAACTGGCTAGTTTCTATCTAATGTCACTTAAGAACCAACAAAAACAGAAGTAGATGTTGGCCCCGCATAAGTAACATATGTCCTAACTGCCTTAGTCAGTACTGTGAAAATTTTCTATGTGGTCAGATATTTTATAAACTTATCCACACATCCATTGTAAAGCTGTTAGACTTATCCTGCTAGGACATAGGCGTTTGAGAGATATGTATCATTCACACATAAAAATACGTGACACTTTGTAAACATAATGACATTTTGTCAACTGTAGATGATACAAAAGAAGTATTCATCTACTTGATTAAAAATATCAGTCTTTCAGCTACCGTTTATTCGTTAATAGTTAGCTACTCTAGTCTGAACCCCAATAACTACACATCTTAAAATGCTTGATCTTTTTAAGAACTGAATAGCGACTGACATATTTTCGAAATGATGACGTGTTTGAGAAGTTATGAAAGATGATGAACAATATAACTAACTTTTAATATCAGGTCATTTTTCCAAGATCACGAAGATCTTGATGATAAATTATTTTTTTCATTTATTACCTAAACTACTTAATTGGACATTTGAATCACTGATAAATAATTACAACACTTATTGTCACGCACAGCATATATAAATGAGATAATAATGACTAGAAGCTTCAAATCCCTTCCAGCGATAAAGAAGTTCAACGTATACAAAGATACATTTCTAGAATATTTGACATATGTAATAACTAAATTGAAAAGAAATTCTCAACTGATTATCTATAGGCACCATTACTTAGCTAATTATGACACTCAGTTTGAGTAAAAGACTAGTAGCTTCATTCAGCGGCAAGTTTATGAAGCGAAGTTTATTATTATCACTTTTATTCTAGATAGTTAACTGTCCCAAGAAGCTAAAATATCAATTTTCAAACGTCATGGCTCGGGAGGGAACAAATGAATTCAGCACGAAGTAAAATTCTGTTGAATTCGGTTGATGTTGGTCATGTAATGTATAAAACCAAACCGTTTAAAATCACCTATCACATTCCACAAAATCTTTCGAATGGAATTTGCAGTCGCATATTACATATAACTGTAGTTATAAAAATTAGAGTAAACAACTCTAGTCTTTCAATTATAGTAGTGATGGATAGTTGCTAGCAGTTTAATCCAGGATGCGCATTCGTCCTATTTGGAACTCGTCAGCTGGAACGAAATGCACATCCTGGATTCCACTGCTACCCACTACCCATCATTACTTTAATTAAAACACAAGTAATATTGAAGCATCCACACAGGAGCCTATACACCAATAGAGACCGATCAATTGGGTCTAATCAACGACGGTATAATCCAAGCAATTATACTAACTCTAGTCCCTGTATACAGTAAAACTTTGTACAACACTTATTTCTGCCCTGACCAGAGAAAATCTAATAAATGACTTTAGAGATAAATTCAATTATCATCCTCTTCCCTATTGAGGAGCTTGGAAACTGAGAAAGCATTTGGAATGGGAGTGGACTCTCCAAACTGTCAACTCGAGAATCATAATCTACTCTGATATTATCACCCACACGAAACGACAACCACGAGCACACTGAGTTGTGAAGTGGCTATCATGATGTCCCAAGAGCATCGAAGGCTCTCATGCAGTGGGAACCAATCTCCTCCAGAATTATAACAGCAAGGTTCAACTCAAAAGGAAGGAAGCTCACAATCATACAATGCTATGCACCTACAAATAATGCAGAGCAAGAGAAAAAGGAGGAATTCTACAGACAGCTTCAATAAACATTGGACAAGACGTCAGTTGGCGATATCAAAATTCTAATGGGCGACATGAATGACAAACTAAGAACGGAAAACACAGGAAAAGAACCAACCATGGACCAAGAAGCACTAGGTGAGGAGATGAACGAGAATGGAAAACTGTTTGCACAATTCTGTGCATTCAACGATTCGGTGATTGGAGGCGATTCAGTGTGTTCAAGCACAAAGACATCCACAAGTCAGCAACATGGATTTCACCAGACACCAGGACACACTAAAAATCAAATCGACCTCATCTCAATGTAAAGAAAATGGAGACGCAGTCTACTTGACACAAGATCAGATAAAGAAGGGGAGCAGATGTAGGTTCACACCACTCACTATCTAGTGCAAGGAACCTACCTGCCAAATCAAGTTAAAAGCCATCACAGAAGTTGGTGATAGACCACAGTTCAAGTACAACAGTCGGAAACTGAGGGACGAAACTACAAAGCACATATTCACATCAGCCATCAAGACAAGATGGGAGATATCAAGGAACATCCATGAAGAAACCTGCGTGGAAGAACACTGGAACTCCTTGAAAGAGATGTGGAAATCAATCTGCATAACCATATTAGGAAGGAAGTAGAAAGGCTAAGACAAGGAATGGATCTCGATGGAAACATGGAAGCTGATAGGGGCTGAAGAGGAGGATGGTGAAGCAGAAGATAAACCAGTGCAGTGCTAGGATGCACAACGACAAGAGGAACTGACTACAATGTATAAAACACTACACTGGACAAGGAAGTGAAGAAGGGTGGATGGAAAGACAAAAGACACTTCCAAGACATACTGGCAAACGAAGCAGAACAGGCTGCAGGCTGGTGGTGGGAGAGACAGAGACCTGACAACATTGTGCCAAATAACCAGGTTAATATCTGGTTGTGCAGAGATCTACACAGATGAAACCAATAAAAGATGATGGAGGAAATTTAATTACGAAGGAAGACAAATGAAGGAAACGATGGGTCGACCACTTCGAAATGCTCTTGAATCGACCACCACCACCACAACCTGCACTTCGTCCAGAAATACTGGCAGCAGCCCAGCCACAGAACTACAAGTGAACATAAATCCTCCAACAAATGTCGAAATCCTGAGCACCGTAAAGCCACTGAAATGTGGGAAAGCAGCAGGACCAGATGGAATCCCACCAGAAGCACTGAGAACAGACTCAGAGACAACAGTGGACATGCTCACACCACTGTTGCAGAAGGTCTGAAAGAAAGGGAAGGTGCCTGGTGATTGGAAGGAGGGCTACCTTGTCAAACTGTCGAAGAAAGGAGACCCAGATCTTCGCAAGGACTGTTGCGGAATCACACTACTCTCCACCCGGAACAAGCAAAATATTAAGCCTCATCATTCTGGAGAGACTGAGGGATGCACCTAATTCGAAACCACAACCGGAACAGGCTGGTTGGCTGGATTCAGGTAGTACAAATCATGTGTAGACCGAATTGCCACGCTTCGCATTATCATAGAACAAAGTATAGAATGGCAGTCGACTCATCTCAACCTCAGCTTCATCGAATTTGAGAAGGCCTTTGACAGCGTCAACCAAGAGGCAATTTGGAAACTGCTTCAATACTACGAATTACCACAAACCTTTATCAGTCTCATTCAACAACTACACGAAGACGCCACATGCCAGCCAAGTAATTCACAATGGGAAGCTCAGTGATGCTTTCGAAGTGAAGTGAAGACAGGAGTGAAACAAGACTGCCTGCTATCACCCATGATATTCCTGACTGTGTTGTGGTGGACTGGATCATGCAACAGACAAGTGTGAGGAGCTGTGAGAAGAGGGTGATACGTTGGCTGGACCACGAAAAGTACCTGGAAGATTTGGATTTCGCCAACGATGACTTGTGTCTGATGTCGCACAAACTTGAAGACCTACAGGTGAAAACTAACAAGTTGGCAGAAGAGGCAGCGAAGACAGGACTTCAAGTGAATATAGAGAAGACAGAGGTGGAGGTGATGAAGATACCCAAGCAACCAACACCACCACCACCACCAACAACAACAACAACAAACTCCAATCACCATCAACAGGAGAAAGTTAAGGGAAGTAGCCACTTTCACCTACCTTTCGAGGCAACACTGTTTCAACTACAGGCGGCACTGACGAGGATGTCAAAGTCGGAATCGGAAAAGCAAGACTGGTGTTCATTTGCCGGAAACCAGTGTGGAGATCTTCTGCACTGCACTCAGCATATGGAACAACATTCGGATTTTCAACACCAATGCCAGTCAAGTCAGTGCTTCTGTATGGCTCAGAGACTTGACGCGCTACGAAATGCATTTCCAACAAACTACAGACATTCATCAACAACTGCCACATACGCTGGCTCGTTACTGACACTGAAGCTCAGATGGATAGCCAGAAATAATAAGCAACAAAGAACTCACTCTGGCTGGCAACGAACCAACGAAGCAAGAAGCTATCGCTGAACAAATATGCACTGGAAGGAAGTGGAGATGGATTGGACGGGACATTCACTGATAAGGCCGACTGGGGACATCACATGTCAGGCCAGGCAGTCGAGTGGAACTGCGATGGGAAGCAACGAGTTGGGCGTTTCAGCTAAGGCTGATATGGAGGAGATCGTGTGAGGAGGGAATGAGAGCTTGTGGGCTGTCGTGGAGCGAGGTTCGAAAGATTTCAGAGAACAGAGAGTGTAATGGAGACGTGCTAGTGAAGCCCTATGTTCCATTAGGAACCCAAGGCAGAAATAATAATAATCCTCTTCGCCATCTTCACCCCTTTCATGCACAGTAATTCGCCAAGTCTTTGATAATCGATACATTTTTTCCTTTGGTATTAAGTAACTTTTATTTTTCTAAGTTTACGCCTACACTGATTTTTTAAGTGTCTGTAGTACGGTGCTGTTCCCTTTATGTTTATCATCACTGAGGTAATTACTATTGTTTTTTTTATTTCGATATCTACTAATTACATGCTTCATTTCCTAGTTATCACAGACTAACGAATCCATGATGATTGGTTTAATATCTTATATTCGAGGAAATTTTTGTACATTAGCGTTAAGCTTGACGAGAGCTAATTGAAAGTAGTATTGTTCGCTAATTTATCTCTCAATTTTGGCCATGGGTTATTTTTAACCCTTTTTAAAATCAATTCAATTTATGCTCCAATGAAATGCAGTTGAAAATTATTTCTTATCGTGATCTCGCTTTCAAAACAACATACACCGTTCATTTCCTGCATCACTACTCCATCTTTCGTCTTTTCACAAATCTAACTGCAGTGTTTCCAAAGACTATCTAGTTTTTTTTATAAAACTATCACTTAGGAACTAGATAATTCCACTTTTTCAACGATTTTATCATTATATTTCATTACCATTATACCAACTTCTTGGTGTAGCATACTTCTAAGTTTGCAGTGTTCATTGAATAAATTACGTGACAATTACAGTAGTACTTGCTAGATAACTTTTCAAGTGAAATATATCGCTCGTATTACACTAATTTTGAAATCTGGTGTTTTTTAGTTCTTTAATGATTTTACTCTTGGTGGAATTATCAAACCTATAAATACACTTAGAAACAGTTTTTAACAAATTAACGACCCTGTTGATTTAATCCAATAAAATAATTCATTCAGTAACTATGAGGTCAAGTACATTGGTTGAACTAATGAATATGTCAGTCAGATTGTCAGACAATAGGGACTTAGCTAAATTTACAACGTTAAACCTAATGATCTAAATAATCTAGAAAGTTCCAGCTGTTGTTGTCCACTTATTAACACATACCAACACAGCAATATGGAACAAATTAGGTTTTAAAAAGTACTACAATTAGGTTGAGGATGACTGTGATCAATTATTCTTCACTAGTTTCATCAATATTTACTTAATAAAATTGAAACGAATCAATTCTCATTTATTAAAACTCAAAATCTGACCGTGGTCCAAATTTTCATTTCAATTTCAATCATCACCTAGTATAAACACTAGTCTGCCAAACCACGGCTATCTCAGATAGTCAAACTGAAAATTAATATGATACTCCCCCTACCTAAATCAATTAAACTTCGATCGGGATGAGAAGTCCTCACTAGGAAGCCAGTGTAAGTACGATTAAGCTATAGTAACGCATCACGTATTCATATGGTATTTGGGCAAAACCCATAGTGATTTCAATGAAATAAAAATCTGGTCAGCAATTGGACCTCGCAGTTCAGTCAGTAGAGCATTGGATCAGAAACCTGGTGGTTGCTGGCTCAAATCCAGCCACGGTTCAAATTTTCATTTCACCTTCAGTCATCACCCAGGATACAAAATATTCTACCCACAAAACTATTGCGTAAGACTGAAAAAATGAAGCATACACATTGACATGGCTACAGTAATCTGACTACAGAGAATGAATTGTGTCTGAAGCTCCCTCAAGTCAATATTATTATATTCACTTCTAAACATCTAATGCGTGAACCACAGATTGTTTCTCAACCTGATAACATTTGGTCGAATGAAGTACAATAGTTTTGACTGGTTTCTTCACGTTTCAAACCATAAATCTTAGACGTTAGACTTCAGATATTGTCTTAAATTGTAAAACATTTGTTTAGTGGATTAGTGTAATTATCTAGTTCTAAACACTCTGAAATAGAGATGTTGTAAATGTTTTGAATGCTGTTTGATTTATACTAGGTGTTGATTGAAGGGGAAATGGAAATTTGGACCGCGGTCGGATACGAACCAACGACCACTGGGTTTCTGGCCCGATTCTGTACCAAATAAATAAATTTTAGTGAAGGAAAGTCCTTGACTAATTATAACTGACAAACCAAGAACCAGACAAGACATTGATATCACAGTCGAATATACAATTGCATGAAAATGCATCAATATCTAATAAATCGAGGGACTTTGCAAAGGTAAAACAACTCCAAGTGGTTTGATAGGTCAATTTGTTTCAGATGAGTAGGTTGGGATAAAATCAAAATCATTAGTAATGAAGACAAAAAAGTTATGATCTGAATATAGACTGAACGCTAGCACAAGAGGATGACTGAAAAATGCAAGACGATATGTGGTAGAAATCAAGTTATAGGATAATTAGAATTTCAAAATGATAAGACTGAGATCTTATCTGCATTTCTTGAATGACTTTATGTGATACTAAACGGAGTCTTTAACAAGAGGTTCCAGATAACTCATAAGAAAGCTTTTAGAAACTCGACACTTTTCTAAGCACTTCAGATCAATAATCAGGTTCTATAGTCTAGTAATAGTATCTTAGTTTGAATATTTTACCGTGACGTATGCGAAACACTGAAACTCCTGAAAATATCTGCAATAACACAAAAATACATATTCTTCATATTTATTGAAAGGTTTAAACTTTTAAGACATCAACTCATCAGGAAAATGAAAAAAACTTACCCGAAAACGCCTACAGCTTTCAAACCTAATTGTACAAGAGATTCCCATTTAGAAGCTCGACATAGAATTTCTAGTGTCTTCAAAATAAAATTGTGCAACCAATTCCAGTCTATATTAAATTCATTGTCTATCTTTTCAGGTTGCCAAATTTTTTCATGCAGTTCATGGGAACTTTCAATCTAAAAATATTTTTAGTCCAATTTTCAATAACGTTTCTTTAAAAATATGAATGACTTTTACATGCCTTTCTAATGGAAAAAGTATAAAATATCTTAATGCTGGACTCCAAATATTCTGATGGGAAGTGTGTATTAGCGAGAAATTCGTGATCACTTGTTTTTTCTCATGGAAATGTCTCTAACTTTTCTATCTCACACACACACTTGATTATCATTTTAAAAATGTTTTCTTAAAAAAATCATGTTTACACATTTTGCCCAGTCAGAATTAAAATATATCTGATTCCGTTTAATTCTACCGACAGATAGACTTTATGAATTAGGTCAATCGTAAGCGTAAGCTTTTACAAAATCCTTTTAAAAGTGATTTCCAATTTAAACATAAAGTTCAGGAATTGTAGATGACCTAATTTCCCAAAAGTGATGTGTTAACCAGTGTGCGACATAACACAATAGGATGATGGTTAGTTGTGTAAAACTAACAAATCTAGTTGCCCCAAAATGCTCCGACTGAGATCATAAAAATTGTGCAACTTAGTGGCTTGAGATGATGGAAGACACTATCCATAAACAAAGTCAGAGGCAACCATGCTGCAGATTTTGCTTGCATCTTCTATTACTAAAATCTCAAATGATTCATTCTTTATCTCCAAGAATCAGAATAATCGGCACGAGTGATACTGTCGACGATGAATTAGACAAACTACGAAAAATCCACAAGCAAAGTGAATACACGTCTAGATTTTCTGAGGGGAAGTTGAAACCAAAGTAGAATACGGAATAAGTGCTCACAGTTCCAAAAGAGACCTTGTTTACGAGCACTGGTTTCAAGAGCTTTATGGTAGAAGAGATCCTGATAAATTGGCTCTCCGAATAGCTGAATAAGTCATTCTTCCCTGCGAAGCTACAGATCAACTTCTCTAGTTACTAATCGGTTCCGGGTTGAGTTAAGGACAAGTTGCCGCTTTGAGCCACCTCACCGTGTGCCTACAAATTTACTTACTTCTGTGGAGCCACACAGAGCATACACTTTCCAAACATATCTCTGGGCACTATCCTGCTTGGATGTCGAGGAGAGAATATAAATCAATAGACAGTTCAATTTTTGAACATTAGGTTAAATCTGGACATTTGCTTGACCACAGTCCTCCTTCAGTGTCATTTGTGGAGTCAAATGGAATGGTTCGAAAGGAGAAAGCCTTGGACGGTTGTGCACTGCAGAAGAACTGTCCATTCACCAATTCAAGCCTTATTTTTGCGTACAAAAGAAGTAAGTTCAAGCTCTTATCTCACCATAGCCTTGACACTTTCACAATTTTTCGATTTCATGATAATTAGTTAGTTTATAATCATCACCTTCATTATGACTCTTATTTCTTTCTTCACCTTCTTTATTTCTACCTATCTACTGGATAGTCAATACACGCATTTCTCATCTAACAACAGTTTTCACCTTATCAAACTCCTTGTCTTCATCGTTATATTCACTCTCTAAATGATTATCATGCAACCACTTTCCATTCTCGATTTCGGTTTTTCAGCACTAGCTTAATAAAGCAACTGTACTCTATTGTTTGATAATAGACTTATATGTTCGTGATTGTACAGCTTTAAAAAATGATATCGTCGAAGAAGAAAATTTTTTTCGCTGGGTTACCTCTTCTTTTCTCGGTGAATCAAAGCCAGTAAATGCCTCCTCGGATGCATATTGAACCTCAGTTGATTCAGTTTTCACCTTCTTGTCAAAATTACTGTTGTTACTGTCACTGTTGTCATTATTTTCTCACCTGAAATCTTCAAGATTCATAGAACAATTCTACTTTCCAAATTCAACTTTCATTACGCAATTCACCTTCAAACTATTCTAATTAAACATTCGGTTCTACCTTTTACGTTGCCTTCTGACACTTGGAAATTGTTCACTTTTATGTTGATACGCCTAAGTTGATGTTTCGGTCTACTTTATAAATGTTTGCATGTATACTCTTTTTCAATGATTGGTAGTATATATATTAAAGCATGCACAGTATCCACCTGAATCCTACTAAAACATAAATTCACTAGGTCCTATTTTCCATATTTACTGTTTGCTTAAAATTTGCAGCAATAAAAAAATGTTTTGTATATTTGGATTCCTTATGTTTCAGGTCAATAAGTTTCAAACTACATTTGCTCAAATCGTACCCATAGGTTTTATTCGTCTATTTCTGCGTTTCAGTACTTTAACCTGAGTGAGAATATGACTTCGTGCCGGAATGTTCAACGATTTGTACTCTATTTTTTGATTGCTAATTAATAAGCATGAAACTGTGTCAAGAAAAGCCATAAAATGTATAGTCATATGTCCAATGTTACCACTTGAGACATTTACATACAATAAACTAATCATATTACTGTATATTTTGAGCCCTAATGGAGATTTTATGTTTAAGATAGCATTCAACATGGATTGACATCAGTTGGAGACCACTAAAAACACAGGTGAACTGGACAGCTTTTTTGTCCTAGTATGGGACTCCTAAGCAACTAACTGTGACCTGTGGGGTCAACCAGTTGGAAGTGAAGTGGATAGCACGCTATATTGTGAACTGACAAAACTAGGAAACTCTGAACCACTGAAATGCTACCTAGTAGCTGGATGATTAAGGTGTTCGCTGTGAAATCAGAAAGTCCTGAAATCAGTCCCTAACTGGGTTGTGGATGCGTACCGCTAAGGAGTGCCACGATAGGACGAAACATCTATCCAGTGCCCCCAGATTCTAATAGTTCTCAAAATGAAATCAGTCCATGACAAATGCTACTTTAAATGTTATTGTGATCACAAATCGGATGTTAATGTGTGTTATGTTAGATCTTATCATTCTTCTATTTATCCTCCAACTACTCATCGCTTATGTATACCTTTTGATCCATAATATATAGTGCTCGGCAATTCTGTGGAAAGTTGATCAAAAATCTGTTAGAATCATAAATTACTACAGAACTAATAAAATAATAAATAATAAAAACTGGTGGTGAAACAAATTGTCTGTATGCAATTAACCAGAGCAATGAATGATATGCCTTCATACATTTATAAGTAACATTTTTATCTCAAATCATCATTTCATTTTATGAAAAAAAAGGAAACCAATTTTCGGAAATTTATCTATAATTTATTTCAAAATTGTGAATATCACTTAATTCGTTGTTCTGTCCCTTGTTTTCATTCCCAAATTCCTTTTTACTACTTTTGTTTTCTTTTATCACCCACTTTCATTTGTTTATATGCATAAAGTGTGCTCGAATTGAAGTAAACAAAGTTGTTGAAACCTATTTGGGGTAAATATTATGCACATATATATAATACCACTGAACAGAAAACGTGGATCATTGAATTTGCGTGACTCGTTTTACTACAATAAAGTTTTGACAATAACTGAAATATTCTATACAAAACATTTTTGTCTAGTTAGGAAAGACAGGAATAAGAGCAACATAAACATAAGGGCATTTTTCGCTTTTTGTTCAACCCTTATTTTATGTTTGACAAAAACGTTGAGGAAGGCTAATTGTTTCTCTTCCAATGTACTTAAATAAATTTTTCCAAAGAGATGAGAAGTATTTCCGAAACTAGGACTTTCTCTCACAGTCGTAAAACTACTATGACTAGAATATCAGGCTTTTCTCCAACGAATTCAGATAAGTATCCATAGACACTTCTCTCGCTATTTTTAAAGATGTAACTTACGAAATATATACACATATATGTGAATAGTCACTAAAGTTAAAATGAAAGTGACTATTGCCCGTTAGATTGTTTTTCTTCTACGTGGACTTTGACATTTGGCTCACAGGTCATCAAAAGCTCAAATTCAGCACTCAGTTTCAAAATGCTCATATGATTATTTCATCCACCCTAACACTGGTTTACTCAAGCATTAGAAAACCTATTTTAGACAACTGTTTCGAAGATTATTGTCTCAGATGAAAAGCAACATGACTAGTTAAATCTTGAAAAAAATCTGTGCTGATTAAAAGTGTCGTTAGAGCTGGGGAATTGATATTTTTCACTAGCAACTGTAAAATAAATATTACACGTCTTAAGATCAGGGACTGCAACAATAACAAGACTTTTATTCCGGACACCTGTTGTATCAGAAAATACAGGTAAATCACTAAAACAAAACTGGTTAATTTATTTTTATTGTAAGTTTGTTGAAAGCTGAGCTTTGTAACCATAAAGAGGAATACAATCCATCAGATCAGATGATACAGAAATGTTTAAATCATCAAATATCTGGAACCTTTTTTGTGGAGATTAATTAAATGATTTCAGTTGACAATTCATCATGGGATGACATCAGTTGGAGGATTACTGAAAACCTGGGAGCACCGGACAGCTTGTTTCAACTCTGCCAGGAATTGAACTTAAGATTCTCAGGTTCCGTGGCCAGCAAGTTACCACTGAGCCACTGAGTCATGGTTGTACAACGCTGAGGCGTCTCATACTAGGACGAAACAAGCTTTCCAGTGCTTTCAGATTTCCAGTGTTCCTCCAATTAATGTCAGTCCACGATGAATTTGGACATTTTTAAAAAAACAAATCTTCCGTGTCTCCAACCTCATAAGAAAGGTTTCACGACTTGTTTCATTGGGGAAATGATTTCCTGAGTCAAGTAACACTGAATGAATAACAGAGATTCTCATATCTGACACCATATTTATAAACTTACATTTCTATTGGTTTTCATCGATGTACCCTCACAATGGATATCATTATTATTCACCATAGTTTGAATAAAATCTATAATATTGTCTGCCAACATAAACCAACAAGAACATACAATTTTAGCTAATGCTCTTCGATTGGTATATTCTTTCAAATAATTCATAACTTCCAGAACAGATGTATTATGTATCTGTGTATGAGTTGAACATTTTCGTTTTCTCTATTTATTAATTTACGTGTATTCCCCTTTATAACTTTTACTACTTTTGATTCTAATTTCATATCCATCTGTCTATGTATATTTTCTTGTACAGACCATACTGATAGCGTACATAGTAACAGACTGAATTGAGATGTTGTATTCCAACAAATCCTTGCAGTTTCATACATTTTAGGCCAACATTTAGCTCTGTAAGCCAAAGTTGTTGATTGTTTCAATAAATCAAATATTCTTTTTATATCGTTTGGTAAAGAGAATACAATATATGTATCAATGAAATCTAAAAAAGTAATGAAAATACACAAAGAATTATATATTACATTATTTGCAGTTTCCCTCATAAAACTACATTTTAATTTTTTGACGCAAAATTTCTTAGCTACGAATAAGTTGACACTCCACAAAATCCCTTAATTAAAACCTTGTATTGTGAATATTTGTTAAATCACCCTGAAAATTCGTGACTTACCATTTATGGTATACCTTTGTTTGATCTATTGTGATGAATATATTTAACTATTTCAAAATGTTTAAAGCCCTACGGACACAATCATCTTGATCACTTCGACAGAAATACTGTCTATTTATAACAAAATCAACGTTTTACCTATCTCTGTTTCAAAACGTTTGTCATCCTTTTTTCAGATATTGTTATGATTATCCTTCTTATCACTTCCTTAGTCAGTTATCATCGATTAACAAAGAATCTACCTAAGCAAAAGCTGATTATTTAACTTTTAATCAAAAAAATTTGAGTGAGGAAATTACAGTAAAATTACAAAATCCACAACAATGAGTGATGTTCAATTAGACTTACATCTAATTTCTTCTACTAATGATAACCAGAACAGTTTTTGAACAACTAAAGAATAACTACGAAATCCATTTCAAGCACTAAAAAAGATAACTCTACAATAATATGTAAACCTTCTGTAGTTTTCCACGAGGGTTTTTACATACACCACTATCAGCTATCTAATTTCACGTAAAACCTATTTTGAAGTTTTTGATTTAACAGCATTAGCAATCTAAGTGTTACATCAACATCGGTCATTGCTGTTCAAGATAGTCCATTGATCAAACTGGAAAAGATTACCGTGATCATCTTCTCTGAATAGGTCAGCAAAAGCGAATGGGAAATACAGTTAGTGATCTCTTTGTTATTGTTTCCTAACTTTTATGAGTGAGACCCATAAAGCCTACTGATAAACTAATGTGAGGTATGAGTAACAATTAATCAGTTGATGGATAAGCAGAACACTAAGAAGAAATAAAAATAAGCGCTCTAAGTAGGCAATGCTTCACATGTATTACATGAAGTCTAGTGGTACTTCCTGCTTTGCATAAGCTTGGTAGGTGGAGCAAGTCTCAAACTCGTGACTCAGTGAATGATAGTTATTTCCCCAAACTACATGGTCACGACTCAATACAGCATTAAATGATTAAAGCAAGATCGAAATGCAGTCAGAGTTCAGGTATACAAATCATCCTAGTAAAACAATGTGCTCAAAATCAACAGATCACATTTTTATATCCAATGGGTAATACTATTTTTTTGACAAATTATGAATTGGTTAGCTTTGATGGATCCATACATTCCACATAATAAGCTTATATTTAATAAATTGTTCACACTGATTTACTTTCATTATCTTCGCATTCATCTTCTTTAACAGGATATTGTTTTTTATCTTCTTTACCACATTGATAGGCATCAACTGAAGATTCTTGACTAACTGGTCCCAAGTAATCACATATAGCTTTCGATGCTTTATGAACTAGGAAACAAATCAAAAACCAGAATTTTGCATTGACAAATAATATTTGAGCGAATTTTAAGGTTCATTTAATACCTGAAGTTTTAAACATGCATTACACCCTTTTATATATCCCTGTAAAATGTCATACTAACAATCTTCCAACTGTGGTAATTAATTCACCTGACTTTAGTTACATCGCTGTTGCTGTTTCATCAAATTCAGTATTCACAGTACACAAGAAGTAAACTAACCACTATCTAAAATTTAAAGTTATGGGTGGTATGAAATTCATTAACAAAAAAGATTCACTTCTTTATGATGCTGCATTATCTAAGCTAAATGTCTCAGGCTTGCGAAAATGTAGTACATTTAAAACCACTTTTCTAACTTACATATATTCGCTAAGTCCCATGTAAATATATATACTAGTATTGCCTATAGCATGTATGCGTAACAAGTGGATAACATTCAATAAAATCAGTAATGAAGTGATGCTTATAGCAAAAATATATCTACGTTCAAACGATTTCTTGTATATCTCCTAGCACTTGACTTAGTAATTGTTATTTAACAGTTTTGTAAATATTCTCCCAAAACTGATATGTGTTGCTGTCGATTAAAAATAGTGTTGATGAAATATATAATATCAGACCATGAGAAGACTTTTATTACGTTAAGAAATAGAAAATTAGTCAAGAAAATGTTACTTTTATACAGTTTACTATATTGTGATTCATCTCATTCACTTAGCTGTGACACTGCACCAATTTATCAATATTCTGTACGATAGGTATTTCCAACCATCTGTGTAATATGCATTATTCTTCTAATGAATATACTGTGAGGTATTATAATATGTTTAAAAAAATCAACAAATAAAGTGTGAAACCGAAATCTTGTTTATAACATACCATCTCAGTCTCTTTGAAAATTGCTTCTCTACGTTTAAAAATATCTTTAATTTCAATGATGACAAAAATTCTGCATAATCTAGTAATATCTAACAAGTGATATTCTGAACAATGCAAGATTGTACCTTGACAATGCATGATATTGAAAATCGTTGTTTTTCGAAATTTATCTCAAATGAATACATCGAGGTTAATACACCCAATATCACAGTTAATTTAAAGCATATACTTCCGACTAAATATGTAAATAACCTTCAGTAATTCACTATTTGTCAGGCGTAAAATTATAAATGAACTCAAGTTATATTCTTTGATTTTTCAGAGATTTTATCGGTCTAGTAATTTTGGACATTTTATCCATAGAAAACAACTTTATGAAGTATACCTGTGCTTGGTTTATTTTTTGTCTGCAATACGCCTTGTAAGTCGTTAGGCTTTTATTGTCTGGCTTGAAAAAATCATCGGCACAGACTTCAATATGTGTGGTTTAATTTATTTGTTTTTAACCCGTAAAATAACAGGATTATTACTTTTCAATTTGTAATATCTGGTTTTATGCCAAGCTTTTTAACGGAGCTTTTAATATCAGGCAAAAAAAAGGAAGAAATATTCTCTTGTGCACAACAAACAAATGATCTATCACACAACATCTAGTTGTAAACAGGAAATACATATTTTTTAATAGTGTTTTATTTTGTTATCTAGTTTGAGAAAGTTTAGGCACAGACATATCTTTAAGTTTCCGTTAGGTCTTGCTACTGTTTCATTAAATGACCACTTTCCAGCTATTTCAATAAAAGATTGAAAAGGGAAAAGGATTCTTAACATATTATTATACATGAAGAATAGAAACGTTATCAAATGCGTAATACGTTCAGTTTATCGAAAAGGCCGGAAGTATACGAGGTAATGGCATATTTTAGTCACTATACTTTCATTCAACTGATTCAACAATCAACACATTGTCAATCTCATTCATAAATCTCTAAAAGCTCAGAAATTTTACTTCTAAGTATCATTGAAATAGTTGCTCTCTGTTTTTCCAACTCTGAACTGACTGAAGAATCCTAATAATATATATAGCCAATGTACAGTTAATTTTCACTTACTAACATGTCAACATTTTACACTTCATTTGTTATTAACCGCAATGCCGTAATTTCGATGCCTCATGAAAATGTTACCACCAGTCAAACAGTTTCATAAGTTACCTATACCTTCGACGAATTACGATTATTATATAGAAAGTGTATATATCCTTATCGAATACATTTGTATATGGATGATATAAATTAATATTGACAACAAACAAATTTTAAGAAATCATTTTCAGAACTTATATAACAATAAGTAACTAAAATAATTTTTGAAATATCTTACTAGGAGAACAACATAAGAAGAGCAACAGCCAAGACTGTGAAAAGTATTCCCAATTCATCTTAACACCAATTTTGTTCAGCAATGTTAATCATGAATAATCACTTAAGCATTCACCTGACATATTATGACATTATAAAATGCATTCTCCCAAACAAGAAATATTCAGTGCGCTATTTATTTGTTGAAAACTAAATACATTTGTGTACACCTTTATTATCATATCTTGACTTGCAGAATAGCAACACAGTTCCGTGCATTTTTTTACATTAACTAAAAGTCTCATTGGTTTTCGCTTACTATTGAATTATGCAAACACAAGCCTACAAAACAAACTCATTTCTCCAATATAAGTGTAAAATGTTGGGCACTGTAACAGAAGCCAATGACATATTCAATTTGTTGTTTTATATAGTACAAAGTGATACAGTATCAATAACTGGATGATGTCTCGAGAATATCGTATTGCTCATAATCATATCAATCATATCCTTAAGAGAAAAATTATGAAAATGGTACAGAAATTATGAAGACTTTTAAGATGATGCACAGGCATGCACACACCTCAACTTGTTCAGTTATTCAATTCAGTCAAAAGTGTTTACGCGGAACAGGCTCAGTAAAAAAAAAATACAAAGCTTACTTTTTTAAAAGTCAAATCATGTACTTTTTTGTTAGTCACTTGGAATTAGCGAACAAACGTAAACAACGAACGCATCAGCTATTCAGTGTCTGGTAGGTAATCAATTAAACAATGAAAAGGCTGACTGCAGATTATTTTGAAAGGATAAAATTTACACTAAATCAAAATCTCCCAACTTATTTAAAGTTTATTCCTGTGGAACATGATCCCTCCTATTTACCAAAAAGGTGGACTTTCAATACACTATTGTCATCTTATCGACGATATTTTTTCGTTGTTAAGAGAACACAATATTTATAATCCACATTGAAAATTTGTTATTTGTCCTGACGCTTGAAAGAATTTATTTGTAACAACATAGAACATAAGTTCAGCCTTTTTATTCTTTACAAATAACAAAACCTGTCAGAAAAATCATTTAGGCAATCCCAATGAGTAACAGTGATCAATACACGTCTCGTAAAAGTCAAACCGGCTCATTGGACAGTTGACACAAACCTACTTAAATAATATTGATGACGAGATCTCTTTTTCACTTTCAACTTTCTGTAAACAGACACATTTTCCATTCTTTTGCACAACCAAGGATAACTGAAAACAGTGACATCAGTGAAAACAATCTACTGATGCTGGATTCTGCTTTGATAATACATTCTTAACTTGACTGAGTAAATTCTAGTTTTCATTAACTTGTACAATAACCTGGACTACTCGATATTGACAATTTAAATGCCTTTATTTGAAAGAATTAGTTTCCCTTATACATACAAATACATAGGGAGGACTCATAGATCCATGTAAGTTAAGGACTCGGAATATAGTCCAAAATGGTTTCAGAAGGAAATTAAATCACCTGAACCCATAAACAATCGTAAAACAAATCTCTGAGAAAGGTCACACGATTGACTTGGCTACTTCTTTTAGACCTATTTACAAAAGGTGTTTGGGACGGATCCTTAGATTTGTTGAGGCCTTAGCTATTAGGACGTTCAGACCACCTTTGTGTGTTCATAAACAATTTGTCATCACATTAAATCTCTCTTGGTAAACGTAGCTATGAAAACCAAGTTTGATGTACTATTATTTTCGACGTATTGATTTTCATTGTTATTCAGCCTTCATTCTTCGCCTCTTTTCATTTTCTCACCCCTTATCTTGATAAATTTTCATATAAATGCCTATGACAAGTACGTGTGTGGTCAGATAGTTAGAAATGTGTTGCACAACTACACTGCACGATTCAAACAATTTCCGTCTTTATTTGAGTTTAATTTCGAAACCAATATGTTTGTCGAGATGCAAGCAAACTGCTGGATATCCTCTTACGGTGAGAATATTCGATGGCTCATCTTACTGGATATAAACATTGCAACATTCATCAGAATTTTTGGAATATTTCTATATTTTCGTCAAATATTCTACCGTTTAGCAACCATACAATACCCTGACTTTCAATATTTTCTAACAAGTTCCTCTTACTACTTTTTAAATTAGTTCTCATCAACTAGAAAACCACCCGTTTCATTCATTTAAATAATCACAAAAACCTTATAAATTGAAAACTTTCTTGAATTAACCTACAGTCTGACTTAACTGGTAACTAATGGACAACATGAAGCGGTAGGAAGTTTTTTTCTTGTCAGTAGATTTTATTCTATACCATTTTAAAACTTGAAAACCTACACCAAGAATATTCATCATTTCTAAGTCATAGTAAATCAAGCTACAATTAATTACATCTACACTTGGCATAAAAGGAATAACTGGCCAGTTTGTTGCTAGGATGTGGGTAGCATAGGCTTCGATCACAACTACACAATCAAAATGTACGTAATTGTTTTCACAGTCCAGCTGAATTTAAAAAACGGTCGGTCAATCATGAACGAGTTTAACCCAGAACCTGCTATAGCTAATGGTTTAGATTTGGATTGAGCAAACTAAGAATAAGCAATATTCATAATTCTAACTCATTTCACGCTCACTCTTAGTTTTTATTAAATGAATACTTCGATTTTTCTGTATAATTTTTACCTGACTCCTCCCTCTAGAAGCGTAATATCCAAAGCTTAACTCCTTAAAAATAACCT